CTAGTGCATAGAAATGCAACTGATTTTTATGCATTGATTTTGTATCCTGCAACTTTACTGATTTCATTTATTAGTTCTGGCAGGGTTTTTTTGTGGAGTATTTGGGGCTTTCTACATATGAAATTCTGTCATCTGCAAACAGAGAAAATTTTTCTCCTTTATCTCCAATTTGGATGCCTTTTATTTCTTTTTCTTGCCTAACTGCCCTAGCTAAGACTTTTAGTACTATGTTGAATAGAAGTGACAAGAGTGGGCATCCTTGCCTTGTTCCAGATCTTAGAGGAAAAGCTTTCAGTTTTTCATCATTTTCTATGGTGTTAGTTATGGGCTTTTCATATGTGGCCTTTATTGTGTTGAGGTGAGTTCCTTATATACTTAATTTGTTGAGAATTTTTGTCATGAAATGGTGTTGAATTGTCAAATGCTTTTTCTGCATCTGTTAGGATGATCATTTGATTTTTATTCTTCATTCTGTTAATGTAGTATATCACATATATTTTCATATGTTGAACTGTCCTTGCATCCCAGAGATGAATCCCATTTGGTCATGGTGTATGATTCTTTTAATGTACTATTGAATTCAGTTTGCTGGTCTTTTTTTGAGGATTTTTGCATCTAAGTCCATCAGGGATATTGGCTTGTAGTTTTCTTTTCTTGTGGTGTCTTTGTCTGATTTGGTATCAGGGTGATGCTGGACTCATAAAACGAGTTTGGAAGTTTTCTCTCTTCTTTCATTTTTTAGAAGAGGTTAAAAAGGAATGGTATTAGTTCTTCTTTAAGTGCTTGGTAGAATTCACACATGAAACCATCTGGTCCTGGGCTTTTCTTTGTTGGAAGGTCCATAATGTTTTGATCTATGATTCTTCCAGGACTGATCTTGGAAAAGGGTATCTGCAGCCCATGCTAACTTGCCATTTTGGCAGGAACCAGAATTAATATTCTCTCTACTCTCTTTTCCTCCATGCTCTTCTTTTGGAACTTCTATTGGTCCTGCATTAGGGTTTTTCAATCTATCTTCCATGTCTTATGTGGCTGTTTTAAAACCTGGTCCAAAGAGTTTTTGACACATCTCTATTCAAGAAGTAGGACCTGTCCCCTTGCCTTGAATCTGGTCTCTGACTGCTTGACCAAAGTCAAGAAAGTATGGTGAAAGTTATATTTGCTCTTGGACCCCAGCCACCATGTTGTAAAGAATCCCAGGCAATATAGAGAGGCCACATACAAGTATTCCAGTTGTCTGCCAGCATCAATCATGTAAGGGAAGTCATCTCCAGATGATACTAGCCCATAGCCACTATGTCACCCCCAGTCTTTGAACCTTTAAACCTGAGGCCTTGGGCACCCCAAAACAGAGACAATTCATCCCCACTATGCTCCCACTGAATCCTTGACCCACAAAGTCCATAAGCATAATAAAATGTCTGTTTCATGCTACTAGGTTTTGGGGTGGTTTGTCACATAACAGTGCATAACTGTAACATCTTTTACTACTCTTTCATAATTTTTATCTTTTTGTTCTGTGCTATTGATGAACTTCTTAGTTATATACCAATTTACTAATTTGTTTTTCAATAGCTCCCAGACTAAATTTTATCCCACTTACTGAGGTTTTATTACATGATTATGTTTCATTTCTAAAATTTCTAATAAGTTATATTTATATCATCTATTTTTGTTTTATTTCAGTCTCTTTGGGTTTTTTTTTTGTTTCTTTCAGAATTTATTGTCCATTTTCTGGGTGTAACTGCTGAATTAATCTCTACTGACATCTTGAAAAGTTTTATTTTGAATAGTACATTTAAAAAAATTTTGTCTTCTCTTTCTTTCCTCTCCCTACATATGTGCATCTCCTAAACCACCAAGACATGGTCTAGAACCAGATCTTATGATAATGATTTAGGCTTATGTCCCAACATGATACTCAAAATAGTACAATTGACTTCACTGAGCCTTTTGGCTACAAGGTTCAGTACTTAGTCTGTATCCTCCAGCCTCCATAGATCTGAAACATACTATAATGTACAACTTCAGGAATCTTTTGGCAGTGGCTTTTCAAACTTTTTTTCGTGAACAAGATAGAACCATCCTAGCTCCTGGCTGTAGTCAGTGACCCTGGCTTTTATTCTCCATCTTTCACAGAGCACATTTTGTTCCTGATAGCCCAGAAGAGCCAAACTAATGGCAACCAATGCCAGCTTCCCATCCTGTAGCTTGGAAATGCAAGAATTTCATCTCTGCTCAGTTTTATGATTGCTCCATTTCTATTTTTGTGTTTTTAATTTTTGTGCTTTGTTTAGAGCAGAGCATGGTGCACAGAAGCATAAGCTTGCTTCACCAGAAAAAAGGGTTTTAACCAGAAAACTCTTGTTATTTTTACTTTTTAATATCACATATAAGTGTTATATAAACACAACTAATACTTTAATAATATTATAAAAAATGTTACATAGATTTGGAAATGAAGTCAAATTTTTGGTTGAAGAACGAGTGTCTGATTAGTCACAAATTTTTATGATGCTCAACTCTATGGAAAATAGACTTTTATATGAGGGAGTTATATAAATTCTGCTTCCAGAAATGAGACAAATTCATCATTAAATAGAAAACAAGTATAACAAAATACACAGACATGACAGAAAAACCAATATATTTATTTATTTTCAGGAGAATTAAATGAAACCAGACAGGCTAATTCAATTTCTTATATATCTGTATGTCTAATTTCAGCATATAAGTCTATTTTCAAAAGACATCTCTATTATACACCGCTTATAAATATAAACATGTCTACTAATAAAATTTAAAATTTCCATGGTTTAATATCTTATCTAATAGTTTTATAACTAATGGAAATTTAAAATCAAGTTAAATTAATTTTCATTTAAAGTTAAGACAGCATTATGAATAAACCTTAAGATTAAAGAAACTTATGCTTGTTTAAGAAAAGCTAACATATAGAAATACTAATTTACTAATACTAACTAACTAAATACTAATACTAACATAAAAGAAATACTAATTTTAATCAAAAGGTGATCTATGTGGATAATTCCAGTCTTAAAGATCTGCTCTTCATCCCAGCTAAACAGGTTTGCTGAGCAACAAAATAAATAATGATAGCTTTGGATGATAACCTAAATAATAAAGTAAATAGCCACAAGTCCAGATATAAAGAAATAACTAAATAAATAATAAATGGAAGAGAAGTGGCAAGTGTTCCTTACAGAAGAATTTCAACTAATTAGTGTAAAAGGAATTAGGGAAATAGAAAATCACCATTTGAATCTCCATAGTATTAATTGCCTCAGGAAATGTCCAGCAAGGGATACTAAAATTAGTGGGCAAATGTTTAAGCAGAAACATGATACCTGCGTAGTTTCAAAGAGTCTCTCCTGAAGTCTGTATTAATTACAAATAGAAAAACAGTAACTTTACAGTGGAGAAACTTGGCAGATATTATCTTAACCAAGTGCTCAAAATTAACATCACCTTAATACTACTGAATTGTATGCTTAAAAATGGTTACCATGGTAAATTTTGTTATGTTTTTTACCATAATAAAAAAAGATTAATATCACCAGTTAATACAACATATTGACAACATGTGCCACTTGATATGATGCACTGAGAAGGACACAATATCATTTCTGTGGTATTCTTCCCAATAATGCATGAAATTAATCTAATCATGAGAAAACGAAAACAATCTCAGTTTGAGGGACAATTTTGATAACTAAACTTATTGTGGTAATCATTTCACCATACATGCAAATCAAGTCATTATGTCGTATGCCTTAAACTCATACGGTGCTATATGTCAATTCTCTCTCAATAAAACTGAAAAAAAAATTGAGGGATATTTTACAAATAACTGACCAGTACTCTTCAAAAGTCTTAAGGTCATGAAAGACAAGGAAAAGTTAAGGAACTATCATGGGTGGTAGGAACTAGGGAGACATAACGAAATGCATTGTGGAATCCTGGATTGGATCCTTGAAAAGAAAAAGGGCATTAGGGAAAAAACGGTAAAATCTGAATAAAGTCTGTAGTTTAGTTAATAGAATTGTACCAAGATTAATTCCTTAATTTTTATAGCTGTGCTATGGTTATGTAAGATGTTAATATTAAGGGAAGCTAGGTGAAGGGTATATGGGAACTCTATACTATTCTTGCAGTTTTATAAGTCTAAAATTATCACATAAAAAGTTTTTTAAAGAATTTAAATTCCTTATAATTTAAAACTTTCATTAGAAATGTAGATCTATATTCATTTCAAAGTTAAATAGGTAATTGAAGGAATTTGCCCAAACTAGTTAGATATTGTAAATTAAATATTTATCAGGTTGGGTTTTTTTTAAGATTGGCACCTGAGCTAACAACTGTTGCCAATCTTTTTTTTTTCTTTCTGCTTTTTCTCCCCAAATCCCCCCAGTATATAGTTGTATATTTTAGTTGTGGGTCCTTCTAGATGTAGTACGTGAGATGCCGCCTCAATGTGGCCTGATGAGTGGTGCCATGTCCGCACCCAGGATCCGAACCCTGGGCCGCTGTAGCAGAGTGCGCAAACTTAACCACTTGGCCACGGGGCTGGCCCTATCAGGGTCTTTTTATTCAAGAACACATCAAGGCACTTGGGTTATAGCTTTAAATAAATGCAAATAGTTCTAATGTCATTTGACATTGAACTTGAATAATTGTCCTAATTATTTCCATTCTTTATGTTAATTTGCTGATGGAAACCTGGACTTAATTTCAGCTGGTATATAGAGTTCACTCCAAATACAAATAAGTCACATTGTATTCAGCAAGTTGATACAAAGATGTTCTTTGTTTTTAATCATCAGGTACAATGAGAATTTTCTTGGGAACTTGAAGTCTGTATAAAAACGAGGTTTGATCATTGATTAATTCAGCAGTTCTCAATCTGAAGTCAGTGGCAAAATTTTCACTGGTCTAAGGCAAAAATGATAAAGATGATGGCAAAATACATTTTTCATAAAACTATATGTATTTTAAATTTAAAGCATAGTTTCCTCTATGAGATTATCTTTTTTATATTAAAATGTCATTTGCTTTATGAAATAATGGCATGAAATGACAGGTTTTGTTTCATTTAAATTTGATATATATACATGGGAAAAATAAAAAGTTGACAAATCTACATCTCCTGTCCATTTTGTGTATGTGTCATGTGAACTTTATTGCTGTTTGAAATTCAGTCTTAAAATCACTAATCTACATTTTATTTCCAAGCCAGACTCCACTGATTATGCTCACATCACTAAATATAATCAAATATAGTTAATCAATGACAACTATATAATCAAATGCAGTTAATCCTAAGTGACTTTTAGTTAATAACATGTTAACTAATATTTACCCATAAAAGTTAATTCTATGTCCTTTTTCTCTTAAAACCTCTGATTTCAGCATGACAACCAATCCTAACCCAAATACATTAGAACATTATTCTATGTTTTGTGCAAGAAAGATCTTTATTCCAAATGAGCAAGATTATAACTCAATTTATGGAAAATATTTAATATTAATCAGAAAGACAATTAATTGATATTCTGCATTTGCTTCATCTATTCTCAAAATATTAAGGAGAATATTGAAGTCGGCAATAGGTTACACCAATTCTATCCTAAGCGCATCTCCCACATTTAATAAGTAACTTAGCACTAAATTTTAGTATATCCTGGCCACCACATAGACAGTCAGATGGTACCACTAGGTATCAGCCATAATTCCAAGAATGAGGCTCAGATCAGTAAATATGATTTGTTATATTTGAGAAGTATTTCAACAGGTACTGCTCTACCCTTGGAACTCCAGGACCAATACTGTGCCCTTCTGTGTGGGACATATCCTTGTGGGTCTGAATTTACACACATTTTTATAACCTTAAAGCACATAAAGCCTGATTGAAGCAAACATTTTTTAACTTTTAAGGCACAGTTAGTATTATTGATATATTACTGAAATATGTCATTGTTTTAATATTGACTTCTTTAATTTTAGAATGAGAGAACTTAAAATAGCTTATGAAGGTAAAACAAGGATGATCAAAAAGAAGCCCAACTTGATTTCCTACTCCACTGCATTTTATGAATGATTTTCTAGGAAATACCTCTTTTTTCTCAGTTTCCATGTCATCACTTCAGAATGCTCAGAGGGGAAAATGGCTTAAATCAAATCTGGTAATATTCAAAAATGTATTTTTTCCTAAGGCCACTTAATTGGTATTAATGAACTCTTTTTCCTTTAATATATTTATTATTTTGTTGTTGTTCAATAGCACTTGTCAACTACAACAGGCTTAATTTATGTTTTCCTCATCCACCTTTTATTCCCCACATTCAAATAACTGCTCTCTGATAAGGAATGGGATAGACTTCTGTGTATAAAGAGATATTTGAAACTTCCATAAGGCCCCAAAGAACCTTTAAGAAATCTACATCTAACTTAATTTTAGAGAACATTCTTGAAGTGAATCTCTTTAGCCTTATATCTGTTCTTACTCATTTGCAAACAGGTCAAAACCTTTCTTTTCCTTTCCTCCTACCTAATTATCGATGAAGACCACCATTTACCAGGCATTTGTGTGATTATGAATGATGGCACGCAAGATGTTGATTAAAAGACAATTGCCACTCATCAAGGGACAAAAAACTAGAAATTTCTGAGTAATGATAAACTATATTTCTGCTTCTCAAACCTAATTGCTTCCTGATATAACAAAACTAGAAGCTAGTTCTCTTCCTCGTGCATGCATAACTTTCTACTAGAAAATAATTTAAAAGCAAAATAACAGGATATCTCTATGGAACTAAGCATTTTCAGGGCCAGGACTAATGAACTTCCAGGGGAAACATAAATATGAGCTACATATAGTCACCAGATACTCGACCATGGCCTTCTGACCCGCGAGACCTATTGCTATCAGAATCTGGTGGTAAACTGGAGCCAGCCTCTGTTTTTACCTCACCAGTCCCATGAGGGAAGGGGAAGTTGGGCATAAGGCGCTTAAGAAACCGGAACTCACTATTGCCAGTGCCAGTGGCCGAGCACATTTCATAGGGACAAGGCCGGGATAAGGATCCATTGGCTCCTCCTTGCATCAGGTTGTTAGGGAAATTACAGTCATCATAGAAATGCTCTTGAATTGTGAACTTTTCCCTGCATTTAATCTTCTGGTAGATGTGTATAACAAAGATCACTGTGACAGAGAGCAGAAAGAGAAAGGAAAGCACAGCCAGAGAAATGACCAAATATTTAGTGGATGGATTTACCCTTGCAGACTGCTTGGATGAATCCCGGAACTGCAGATAGGGCTCAGAAAAGCCATCTACCAGCAAGATGTTGAGTGAGGCAGTAGTGGAAAGAGCTGGTTGGCCGTGATCCTGAACAAGAATGACCAGTTTCTGCATCATGGGGTCTCTCTCAGATACCTGCCGCAATGTACGGATTTCCCCATTTTGTTGTTGAACAGAGAATAACCCAGGGTCAGTGGCCTTAAGTAGATGATATGAAAGCCAAGAATTCTGACCCGAGTCACCATCCACAGCCACCACCTTGGTCACCAGGTAGCCTGCCTCTGCAGACCTGGGCACCAGGTCATTGCAAGGCAAGGAGCCATTCTGCAGAGGGTACAAGATCATTGGGCAGTTGTCATTGTCATCCAGGACAATCACTCTGACAGTCACCTGGCTACTCAGTGACAGGAAGCCCCCATCAGTTGCCTTTACCACAAACTGAAAATCTTGAATGGCCTCATAATCCATGGTTCTCAGCGCATAGAGCTTCCCATTGTCTGAATTTATGGAGATGTAAGCGAAGACTGATAGATCTCCACTCTTTGGAGGCAGCAAAGAATATGTTACTTGGGCATTCTCCCCCAAATCTAAATCCTCAGCATGAACTTTGCCAATAAAAACCGCAGGGCTGTTGTTTTCTCGAACAGTCAAGATGTAGGAGTCTTCCTGAAATACTGGGGGATTATCATTAATGTCAGATATTAGCACCTCTATCACAGTCTCCGTGGACAGACTGGGTGGTCCAGTATCCACGGCAACAAGGGTGATATTATAGCCTGAGACCTCCTCTCGATCCAAGCCTCTGTCAGTAACCAGCGAGTAAGAATTCCGGAATGTAGGTTTGACTGCAAAAGGAAGGTCTTCTCTTAGGAAGCAAGTGAGTTTTCCTCCCACTCGAATGTCCCGGTCTCGGATAGAGAAAAGGGCCACTACAGTCTGTAGTGGGGAGTCCTCAGGGAGAGGGCTGGACACAGAGGAAACCGTCACTTCAGGAGGATTGTCATTCACATCCACTACTTCCACCAGGACTTTGCTGTGGGCAGAGAGGCCTCCTCCGTCTGTGGCTTGAATGTCAATGTCGTATGTTTCAATAGCTTCAAAATCTAGGGGCCCTCGTAGTCGAACCTCTCCAGTTTGAGGGTCAATCTGGAACGTCTGGAGAATTGCTTCTGTGTTCTGAGCTAAAGAGTAAGTTATCTCTTTGTTGGAGCCCTCGTCTAGGTCCGTGGCAGTCACCACGGCCACCAAAGAACCATTGGCGCTATTTTCTGGTACCTGAGCGCGGTACACCAGTCGCGAGAACTGAGGCACGTGGTCATTGACGTCTAGAACCTCCACCCGGATGTGGGCGGTGCCAGACTTGGGCGGGGACCCGCCGTCCACAGCAGTGATTGTCAAGTTGACCTCAGCCTGTTCCTCTCTGTCCAGGGGTTTATCCAGCACCAGCTCGGCGTATTTGGGCCCGTGGCTTCGGAAGCGGGTGTGCAGGTGGAAATACGCATTGGCGCTCAAGGTGTAGTTTTGGAGACCGTTGAGGCCCACGTCCAGATCCTGGGCGCTCTGTAGAGGAAAACGTGAACCCAGGGGAGTGCTCTCTGGAATCTTTAAAAGAGGCTCCTTGTTTAGGAAAATCGGGGCATTGTCATTGATATCAAATACCCTGACCTCGGCGCGAAAGGACTGCAGGGGCTCCACCAGGACTATTTCAAAGTGCAGAACACACGGGTCGGCTTTGCCACAAAGTGACTCCCGATCCAGTTTCTCCTTCACGAACAGATCCCCCGTCTTGCGGTGGAGCCGGAAATGCAGTTTGCTGCCCTCGGAGACAAGCCGCGCCCCGCGGGCAGCCAGCTTCCCTACCTCCAGCCCCAGGTCTTTAGCCACATTAGCCACAAACGAACCGCTCTCCATCTCCTCCGCCACCGAATAGCGGATGGTTGCCGCACCCCCCACCGACACACACAGAAGAAGGAGAAGACACCTCACTTGCCTGCTTTGCAAGAGTTTTCTGCGCACAACTGCCATCCCTTCTCACAAGCGCAGGTTCTGCAGCAGCCGCCACCTGTTGCGGAAATACTTTCACTTTTCCGCCAGCAGATTCAGGAGACCTCCGCTCTCGGCTTTGCTGGCCTCTAATGGTAGCGCCGCCAATGGCGAGCCAAGCCGGGTAAGCTGTTTTGCACTTGGAAGAAAATTTGCATTGAGCAACTCAACTCCCCAGTCTATCGAATGTATTAATAGATATGTTCTCATTCGGGCGAGTTGGGGAGAGGTTGAAAGTTTGTTGCCAAAGCAACGGCAGACTCGCCTTGTAATTCCCGTTTAGAAAAAAAGTCCTTGGGAATTGAGAAACCAATGAGAATACTCGCTCAAGCTGAAGTCACCGTGTATGTGAGCCGGCTGGGGCCGCTGCAGCAGCTCGCAAACAGAGAGGAGTAAGCTACTCCGCACGCTCCGCACTAGTCCGCTCAGAGACCAAGGGAGAGGAAAAAAGATCCTGCCGTGTCTTCTGGAGTCCGAACCAAAGGGACGGGGGGTTAATGAGGGGGCCTTGGAGGAAGTGCTCAGTAAGAAAAGTAAAGGGGACAGGTAGACATCTTTTAGGAAGCTGGGGTCCAGTAGGTACACTGATAGGGAGAACTGGCCAACCAGCCTCTTGATTTGCACAAATCCATTCTTTTCCCCCAGAACCCCCGAACGCCTAAGCAGCAGCTGGCTTGTCACTTATGATTAGGATGGCAGTAATACTTATGGGGTATGATTTCTGTATACTGGTACCGTGTGAAGTTATTTACATGTATTATCTAATTTAATCCTTGCAACAACTCTGTGAATTGCACAGTACTATTATTATTTCTTTTTTATAGGCAAAGAAGCTGAGACTGGAGAGCTTATGTCGCTCCCCCAAGGTCCCATCCCTGGTAAACGTTAGAGAAGGAACTCAATTTAGTTTTTTATTGTGGTCATAATAGTTTATAACATAGTGAGATTGCAGTTGTACATTATTGCTTGTCATACACCTTATAAGTGCACCCCTTCACCCCTTGTGCCCACCCTCCACCTCCCTTCCCCCAGTAACCACTTATTTATTCTTTTTGTCCGTAAGTTTGTTTATATTCCACATATGAGTAAAATCATATGGTGTTTGCCTTTCTCTGTCGAACTCAATTTAATTTTGTCTGACTCCCAAGTCTATGCTCTTATCAGTACATTACTCTGCTTCCCAGATGACATAGTAGATAAATGAAATGGAGAAAATGTTTGGCTTTGGATTTTAAAGGAAATAAAATAATAGACTACTTACATATATTGAAAATGGCCTGATAGAAATGTGGGAGCTATTTGTCAAGAGTTTTTTTTACAATCGTAAGATCATAGAATGTTTGAGAATGATAAGGCACCTCAGAAAGATGAGGTCCAATTTCCCCCTCGCTTTTTTTATAGATGAAGAAACTAAGGTCCGAATGATGAAATTGCTTACCCAGTTCATACAGATACTCGTGGCAGTATAAGAACTAGAACCTGTGTGCTGACACCCTGTCTCATGCTTGTTATCAAAAGCATTATCAAGCCCAGTGGCGTAGTGGTTAAGTTCTCGAGCTCTACTTCAGAGGTCTGGGGTTCTGGGATTTGGATCCAGGTGCAGACCTACATGCCACTCATCAAGCCATGCTATGGCAGTGTCTCACATACAAAATAGAGGAAGATTGGCACAGGGACCATCTTCCTCAAGCAAAAAAAGAGGATATTGACAACAGATGTTAGCTCAGGGCCAATCTTCCTCACCAAAAATAAAAAAGGCTCCTTATCAAAAGAAATGTTGATTTCCCATTTGTGCTCAGTATTTTGTATACTAGATGCTATAGAAAGTTATTGCCTCTTAAGAGGAGTCTACACCATATTTTCCAAGTGAGAAAAAAGTGAATGAAAATAGCATACATAATGATGACATCCTCACATGAAGAAGTTAACTGGTCCCTCAGTCTCCATTAGATATTTTAAATCTGCATTAAGTTTGCACCCCTAAACAGTTTACATTTGCCTCTTTTAAAAAACTGTGTATAAAGTACACAAAAGGTAATCTTTTTTTGTTGTTATGGTCAAAAAACACACAACATTTATGGTAGGTAATCTTTGAGTCTAGTTTCTTTCCTTCATTATTTAGTTCAATGTGAGATTGATGTTGTTGTATTTAGCTCTGGTTCATTCATTTCCATTGCTATATAGAATCCCAGTGTATTGTCAATGCCCTTCAGCCACAGACCATCAGGAACACACTTGTAGTTGAACAAAGTTATATTTTCTGACATTGCAGCAAGGGAGACTGCACAGAACAGAGACTCATGGGGCATCTCAGTAAGAGGATGTTAGAAAGGACTTATGGCATATAGTCAAGGTCGTTTGGGGGTAGTTTGAAACAGGACTTTGGATGGAATGCTGTCAGAAACAGAGTTAATTCTGTGATTGGGTATATTAATAGTTCTTATGTAGAAGGTGAGAAGAATGGAAAGAGGGTAAAGCTGTGATTGGTAACCAAGCTGAGATTGGTAATTCATATTAGCCAGGATAGAGAGATAATCGATCACTTTGCGGATTGGACAATGTTCTTTTTTGTCTGAGTTCAGACATAATGATAGCATGCTCTTGTTTTTCTCTTGATCCATCACACTCACAGAGTGGACCTGTCTAATGCTGTTGTGCTGTAAGATCGGTTTTGTTTAACAGGAGAACACCATAGCCTAGTTCTAAGTATCTGGCCAGCTCCTAGTTGTCAGGTACAGCTTTTGTCTTTTTCAGTGTGAATACAGCAAAATTCATTTACTCATTCTACTGTTCACAGCAGTACGTCATTGTATTTGTCACTTTGTGCACGTGTAACATTTTGGGGGAGGGGGCATATTCCTAGAAGTGGCATTGTTGTTATAGGGTATGTTCTTTTCAGCTTTATCTGATATTGCCAAACTGCTTTCTAAGAGGTTGTACCAATTTACACTGTCATTAGCAGTGTAACTTCCACTTGTTCAAATTCTTACCAACACCTAGCATTACTAACATTTTAAAATTTCAACCATTCTTGCCATCTCATTGTGGGTGTAATTTGCATTTCTCTGGTTATTAATTATTGATAAGGAAGGGCACTATTTAATATATCTTTAGCCATGTTGATATCCTTTGCATGGGGGAAGGGCTGTTCAGTTCTCTTGTCCATTTTTCGCATTGGATTGTCTTTGTCCTATTGATTTGTAGTAGTTCTTCATATATTCGTAATACGAGTTCTGAGTATCTCTTTATATGTAAGAAAAAGAGACATATTTATCCTTAGTCAACATATATCTACAGTGTTTTGTTAAAGAAAGGAGGTATTTCTCCCAGCGATTCATACGTTATGCAGAAGCTTATGGCATCCTAGGAAGTCTTTTTTTAAATTGAGATATAATTGACATATAACATTACATTAGTTTCTGGGGTACAGCATAATGATTCAATATTTGTATATTTTGCAAAGTTATCACCATGGTAAGTCTAGTTCACATACCTCACCACACGTAATTACAATTTCTTTTCTTTTCTTTTATTATTATTATTTTTTCCCTTTTTCTCCCCAAAGCCCCCCAGTACATAGTTGTGTATTTTTAGTTGTGGGTCCTTCTAGTTGTGGCATGTGGGACACCGCCTCAGCATGGCTTGATGAGTGGTGCCATGTCCGCGCCCAGGATTCGAACTCGCGAAACCCTGGGCCGCCAAAGCAGAATGCGCAAACTTAACCACTTGGCCATGGGGTCGGCCCCTAATTTTTTTTTCTTGTGATGAGAACTTTCAAGATCTACTCTCTTAGCAATTTTCAAATATACAATACAGTATTATTAACTATAGTCACCACCTAGGAAGTCTTAATACAATTTCCAAATAATTCATCCAAAACTCATAATTTAAAAAAAAAATACATTCTTGTGAGTTGAAATAGAAGAAATGCTCCTCTTCAATTGGATTCCTTTCAATCATAATCTGTTTGGTTAGTCCCCAGGGTATGTATTAGTATCTGCTTGATGGGATTAAATTCCAAAATATTTTCTTTTTCCTCTAAAACGTTGAAACCTTTAAATGAGGTGGTAATTTTAAAAAGTCTTCATTCTTTCCAGTGAAGATGAAGATAATAGGGGCCCACAGAATACATATGCCTTTAGGTTGTAGTGTCAGGGTCCTTACCCAAAATCTAGATATTGGGAAGAGGGGCCAACCACAGCTAGAAGAATATCGTGAAGTTTTGGGAGAATGAGAAATCCACTTTAAAACTAGATCTAAGTACTAACTTTTAAGTTCTTAAAAATCTTATTTTGGGGGCCAGCCCAGTGGTGTAGTGGTTGAGTTCACACACTTCGCTTCGGTGGCCTGGAATTCGCAGGTTTGGATCCTGGGCGCAGACCTACACACCACTCATCAGGCCATGCTGTGGGCTGCATCCCACATACAAAATAGAGGAAGATGGGCACAGACGTTAGCTCAGGGCCCATCTTCCTCAGCAAAAAGAGGAAGACTGGCAACAGATGTTAGCTCAGGGCTAATCTCCCTCACCAGAAAAAAAAAATAAAGAAAAAGAAAACAATCTTATTTTGAAATAATTTAAACCTTCAGAAGTTACAAGAGTGCTTACAATTGCCCATTATTTACCCATTGATTTAGCTTGACCAAACGTTCGTCAGGCTTCTCTTCTCCCCATAGGCTCCTGAACTTTAATTTGCCCCAAAACTTAAGCCCTAAAATGCAGACCATGCCCACCTAATGGCTCATTCTGAGACTTGGCCAACCACAGAGAAAAAACATTTCCTGTTAAAGCACCCTGATAATGCCATCTGCTCAGCCCATCCCCTTCTCTACTCTCACGCAAAGTCCTGCTAAACCTGCTTACCCCTCTCTATTAAAAAAAACCCAAACAACTTTTTTTCCTGTTTGATTTTGAGACATTTGCAGAGTTTGTGGTCGGAGAGTTATGCTATTGCAATAGTATTTTTTTAAATTGAGGACACATTGCTTTATAACATTGTGTAAATTTCAGTGTATATCATTATATTTTGGCCTCTGTAGAGAATGCATCATGTTCACCACCAAAAGTCTAGTTTCCATCCATCACCATACATATGTGCCCCTTTACCCCTTTTGCCATCCCCCCACCTCCTTCCCCTCTGGTAACCATCAGTCTATTTTCCTTATTTATGTGTTTATTTATCTTCCACGTATGAGTGAAATAATATGGTGTCTTTCTCCGTCTGACTTATTTTGCTTAGCATAATACCCTCAAGGTCCATCCATGTTGTCGCAAATGGCACAATTTCTTCTTTTTTATGGCTGAGTAGTATTCATTGTATATATATTTGTGTATATATATATATATATATATATATATATACGTTGTATATATTGTGTGTATATATATATACACCACATC